TTTTCCACCTGATCACTATTTCATGCCTTTTTCGGAGTCTTGGCTGCCGCTGGGGTCTCCCAGGGATGCTGATTTCCCTCTCCCGCAGCCTCCCTCCCCCACTCCCTGTCTCTGCTGCAGCCTCCCTGGGCCTTGTCCAGGGTGCTCAGTGCACAGCAGCCACCTCCTTGTTGGTTTGCCACATAGCCCCAGGGCAGTGATACCAACAGGGCCCAGGTGGGATGCCCAAGGCCAGGCTGAGCCATTGGCCTATCCTCAGATCCTGGGGCCAAGGGCCTCCCCGGATGCTGTGCACACATTCTTTTTTCTCTCTGTCGCCTAGGCTGGGGTGCAGTGGCACAATCTCGGCTCATTGCAACTTCCACCTTCTGTGTTCAAGCAATTCTCCTGCCTCAAGCCTCCTGAGGAGCTGGGATTACAGGCGCGTGCCACCATGCCCGGTTAATTTTTGTGTTTTTGATAGAGACAGGGTTTCACCATGTTGGCCAGGCTGGTCTCGAACTTCTAACCTCGTGATCTGCCCACCTCGGCCTCCCAAAGTGCTGGGAGTACAGGCGTGAGCCACCGCGCCCTGCAAGCTGTGCACACATTCTAATCACGGGGCCTGAAAGACTGGCCTTTGGCTGGGCATGCTGGCACATGTCTTTAATTCCAGCACTTTGGGAGGCCTCGAAGGAGGATCAATTAACGACAGCCTGGGCAACATAGCAAGACTGTCTCAAAAAAAAAAAAAAAAAAAGACTGGCCTTTGGCTGGGAATGGCAATGGTAATGGCCTCCCGATTCCAGGCCCCAGCCCTTCAGCCCCACTCTTCTTGATTTTGGCTGAGGTACTTTATCCAACCTCTACCCCACCTTCCCTCAGTAAACCGGGGGTCCCTGGCCCTGCCCCTCAGGGCCTATAAGCCATTGAGACCCTCTGCCTGGCTTCTCCCTTGAAGACAGCGCTGCCTGAGTTGAGGCCTGGCTTGGCATTACTTGGAAACTTGCCGGTCGGGAGGCGGCACCCTGTACTCCCCTCCCCTTCAGCCTGGTCAGTGCGCCTCACTCCAGGCTGTTTAAGACCCAGGCCACACTTCTCACGTATCCAGTGAACTCTTCGCTCCCAGGATCTCGTGACTCATCACTGAAGACTGGTGACAAAGAGCAGCTCCACACCTGTGCACACTTGGGTCGGGCACGTTTCCAGAGGCCCAGAGGGACGGTGACAGCGTTAGCAGCAACGCTGTGCCAAGCAGGAAGGTGTCCAAGCGACACCCAGGACAACTGGAAGAAGCCCCCACTGATTACAGAAACGGGGAGAGGCTCTGGGCCAGATGCTGGAAGGGGAGCTGACACAAGTACTTCGGGCCAGAGTGAGACCTGAGGACCTGTAGAAAGAGACGTGGGCAGAGAGAGCCACTGCCTCTCCATCACACATGACACACCCTTGGCTTTGCCATTTCAGGGACGCACACTGCCTTGCTTCCTCTAGCTCTCCCTGACATAGTTCCTGGTCCACCCAGCATCCTGCCTCCGAGGCTGCACCATCTTGCACTGCTTCTGCCAGTGGTGTGCTGGTAAACATTTAACAACCGGCTCTTGGAGGTGGGGGCTAAAGCTCTGGTTTGTGGTGCTTGCCAATTTCTGTGGTTTAAATACCTCCACTATGGCCAGTTTCAAGCTACCAAAATGATGTCACTGAATACAGAATTGGGAAGGGATGTCTAGCAGCCTTCGTTAATTCTGTCATATTTCCACCATACAGATGCAATAGATGTGAATAACCTCCAGGACAGAGGACAGTGGATGCAGGAAAATCCTTAGGAAAAGATGTTTTGATTATTTATTCCTTTTGTTTTTAATAGAATTTATTTTACTATAAGTTTATATAACTTAAGTTTGGTAATGGCTATATTTAAAAGCAGCTCATAGAATTCCCCCAAACTGGGCCGGGCATGGTGGCTCATGCCTGTAATCCCAGCACTTTGGGAGGCTGAGGTGGGCGGATCATGAAGTCAGGAGTTGGAGACCAGCCTGACCAACATGGTGAAACCTTGTCTCTACTAAAAATACAAAAATTAGCCAGGCATGGTGGCACGTGCCTGTAATCCCAGCTACTTGGGAGTCTGAGGCAGGAGAATCACTTGAACCTGGGAGGCAGAGGTTGCAGTGAGCTGAGACCGTGCCATTGCACTCCAGCCTGGGCAACAGAGCGAGTCTCCGTCTCAAAAACAAAACAAAACAAAAACAGCAACAACAGAAAAAAGAATTCCCCCCAAACTTAGTAATCAGCTCCGTGAGCTGTCCCAAACTGGCCACACACCACTGCCTCCTGCCCAGGGGCCAGAGGACGGCCTGGTGGACTCCTTGCTTCCCAGCATCCCTCAGGATCACAGCTTTGAGGCCGTTGCTCCAGCCTCCCTTCTTAGAGCTCCTGCCATCCACCTTCCTGCCTTCTCCGGGTCTCCCCTCTGACCTCAATGCCTTTGGCAACCAGCTCACTGCCTTGACAGGCACGGGTGCAGGCTGACCTCTGGCCAGTGCTCTAAGGAAACTGCTCTCAAGCTGGCCTCAGCCTGTTATCTTCTTCCCCATCTCCTCTACAGCCTGACTATGGCAACCGCCCTCCATCCCCTGCTTTCCTCCCTGGGTTCCAGAGCTTGCATCACTGGTCCTCCCCCTGCACCCCTAGTCCTCCTCCCTGCATCCCTAGTCCTCCTCCCTGCATCCCTAGTCCTCCTCCTCCTCCTCCCCTGAAACTCCTGCACCCGCCCTCTTCTTTCTCACCCCCCGGTTCTATCCTGTTTCCTATTTCTCTAGTCCCCCTTCTGAGATCCCATCGACCCCCAGGCTTCAGTAGACAACTTAAGGAGATGACTCTGGATGGGGCTCTGTAGGCCTGACTTTTTGTTAATTTTGCAACTATTTCCTAGAAACCTGCCTGATGCTTCAACCTGGGGGCTGGTGCTCCGGCCTGGACTGTGGCCATCCGAAAAGGCCAGAAATTCTCCCTACAAGATGGATGGCAACTTGAAAGCCAGTGGGACTGTGTCTCCACATCCTGACACACTGCAGCCCCAGAGAATATATTTGTTCAATGGAATCTAAATGGACAGGGTATACCACAATGGAAAAACAGCCCTAAAAGATTCAGTTCTGCAAAGTTCTGAACAGTATCTATGTGGTAGATTGCAGCAGTATTGCCCCTGGTTCATTCGGGGTCCCTGTATCCACGTTCTCTCACACAGACTTGTTCCTTGGCCACGTGATCTGCTTTGGACAATGGGAGAATAGCGAACGTGGATATGAGACTTGGGCTTGATTTCTCTTACTGCCATGAGAGCCCCGAGGCCACCATGTGAACGAGCCTAAGCTGGAGGAGAACTAAGGGCTCAGCCAACAGCCCACTACCAGACATGAGTGAAGCTCCTGACTGCCCTCTGACCACAAGACACAGTTGAGTTCAGCCAAGCCCAGCAGAAGAATTGCCTGTCTGTGCCCAGCCCCCATCACTGATCCACATCATTATAAAGCTAATATATTTGTTGGTTTAAGCCACTAAGTTTCAGAGGTAGTTTGTTATATGCAAAAGCTAACCTAATCACTTCTTAGAACAGCACACCCCAAATAGTATCTGGAGAGATAAAGATAGGCAAACAGGCACACCACCAGCCACAGGCTGTGCTATCAGGCACTGTGGGAGGGTCAGAGGGATCCCCCAGATTCTAGGCCAGGATTAGGAAGAGGGGGTGAGGTATTCACCTTGCATACAAAATTTAAAGGGATACCCCAAAACTCAGTATGAAGACAAATGATGTAATACTTTAATGCAATATTTAAAAAAATCAAATTGGTAACTCTGGTCCGCGTCCCAGCTGCCCATTTTGTAAATACAGTTTTATTAAAACTGGGGCTGGGATTAGGGTTAGACAAGACAGGTGGGGTCATCCAAGTACAGGGCCAGACTTGTTTTTATTAAAAAGTTTGATATTTTATCATGGCTTTTTTTTTTTTTTTTTTAACCTTCCTGATTATTTTCTCTCCAGAACAATTGATTTTCATAAACCACGTGGAAAAGCAAATGCTTTTTTTTTTTCCATGAACCTTATCTGTTCATCTGGGTTTTTTATTTTAATTTTAATTTTATTATTATTATTTTTTAGCTCTTTTGATTTGGGTCAACTCTTTCCTCACCTATTGACTAATTTCTGGCAGCGAACTGGATCTCAAACCTCCACCTGCCTATTAAAGTCCCCACCACAGGTCCTAATTTAAGCTCTTGCCAGACAGTTCCACTTTGCTGTTAATGCAGAAATGAGATCAAGTCCCACTCAGAAGAAACCAGAAGATACGAGGTAACCAGAGGGGTGGCTCAGCCTCCAGGGCAGAGGAAGCATAATCCACCTGGGGCCTTACCATTTTCTAGAAGGTCCAAATATCCTTCTCTGTGGCTTCCCTTGGTAGTTTTCAGGGGCAAACCTTAGGAGCCATCTGCTCGGATCTCCATCTGGAGACCTGACCTTTAAGCAGGTTTATTTGTGTTTCCGATTTTTTCCCCTTAGACTTTGGTCATACCCATCCTCAGCAAGCTCCTTGGAGCCAGTAGATAGTTGGAATATTTGTGAATAAGTTGTTGGTATTTTACAAAGTATATTTCTAGCTGTCAGCGTTGGAATGCAGAGGCGTGCGCCCAGGAGTGGACTCTCCCAGGGTGTGGTGCTGAGGCCTGGGTGATATTTTCAGCACTTTCCCGGAAGAACCACCCGTATCTCACCTGGTAATCTCAACTGTTTTTTTTTTTTTTGACGGAGTCTCTGTCTGTCGCCCAGGCTGGAGTGCAGGGGCATGATCTCGGCTCACTGCAACCTCCGTCTCCCAGGTTCAAGTGATTCTTGTGCCTCAGCCTCCTCGAGTAGCTGGGATTACAGGTGCACACTATCACATCCAGCTAATTTTTTGTATTTTAGTAGAGACCGGGTTTCGCCATGTTGGCCAGGCTGGTCTTGAACTCCTGGAGGCCTCAAGTGATCCGCCTGCCTTGGCCTCCCAAAGTGCTGGGATTACAGGTGTGAGCCACTGCGCCCAGCCTAATCTCAGTGTATTTTGACCCTAAGTTGGATACTCCCCACTTCTCTAAAAGACTATCTTTTCTCCTCAAACCATCAGACAACTACAGATCAGACTTTAGCTCGTTGGTAGGCTCGAGGGAAAAGTAGTTGTTGACTTCATACGAGGTAGACACTGACCTGACCCCGATGATTCTCCCATCCCCTGGATTTCTGCTGCTCCCACACCAAGGGCGGGAAAGGCTGTGCCAGCCAGTGGCATCTGAGGAATCTGGAGGGGAGTGCACTTCTTGTGGGGAGCGAGAGAGATTTTTCCATTTCACTCCTTTGCTGTTCGTCTGCAACCACTCTACACCTTTTCAAAGTCTCACCACGGAGGAGTAGCATTTGGGAACTCTGTACTTTTCCTCTGTCTGCACCACTGACACCAGGGGCGAGCTGTGGGTTTGCTCCCGAAGCCTCCAGGTCAAGTAAGGAGTTCAGAGAGGGCCTGGAGGCTGACAGGTCAGGACGGCAACCTTCTTCCCGGAGCACAGAGTGGCCTCACACATTTCTGGAGAACCAAGAGGTGGCTACCAGGCCAGTCACACGACAGTATCTAATGTGCCCAGCCTGGAGCCACTGCCAAGAACTCACAAGATTAACCGGGGTCCTGGCCCTGGATGAGCTTCTGGTCATCTCTTGGGTAACCTGGCCTCCTGTTTGCCTCCTCTGCCTGCGCTCCTGAGGCGTCAGGGGGCTGTGGAAAAATCCAGCGCTTAGCCTTTATTTACGACCACTGGGACCACAGAGATGTCCCCATTGAAGGGTCTGGTGGGCAGATCAGGTGCCTGGGGGAGGGCACATGACTTTTATCTGCTTTCCGTTTCCCTTCACACACACACACACACACACACACACACACACACAGAGCATTAAATACTGATGGGTTTTATTTGATTTTAGAGCTTGGGTAACATCCAGGACACCCTGGAGCTTTGCTGTTCCTGAAGGCAAAGCATCCTTTCTCTGCCCTAAGTCTGACTCGACGACAGGGCCCTGGTGAGGGGCGCAAGCCTTGGCGCGCCGCTGAAGCGGGCCACTTTGGCGGGTAGAGCTGTTTGTTGTCTATGGTCCCGGTGGCAGGGAGGGAGGCAGAAGGGGTGCTCCCGCTGGTCACGACTGGTGACCTTTAAGGCCTCAAAAAACGTGTGCAGAGAGCACAGGAGCGTGAAGAGAGGAGAGAGCGCGCGCGGAGTATTTTTTTTCTGCATGATTTTTTTTTTTTTTTTTGGAGCGGAGTCTTGCTCTGGCGCCCAGGCTGGAGGTGCGAGTGGCGGGCGATCCTCGGCTCACGCAAAGCTGCCGGCGCTCGCCGGGGTTCATGCGCATCTCTGCTCCGCTTCTGGAGGTAGCGGACTACAGCGCCGGCGCCACCAAACGCGCGCCGTCATGGGTGTGGTAGGTTTGTTTAGTAGAGGACGGGTTTCACCATGTTAGCCAGTGATGGTCTCGACTCTGTTGACCTCATGATCTGCCCGCTCGCCTCCAATAGTCGAGAGGATTATTAGGCGAGCCACTGCGGCCCGGGCCTTCTTCTCAATTTGAGACAGGAGGGACCAGAAAAGCTACGCAGACGGGGTGCTAAGACGACAGGCTTGAGAATAAAATGAGCGCACCTAAGTCCTTCTGGTCGCGTAGTCGGCGAGGTGGAGGGAGAGCTGGAGTTCGAGCCCTTTGGACAAGCCGGCGTGTCCAGGCTGCGCGCCGCGCGAGCGAGCTTGTCGCCCGTTTTGGGCCCTGAGGCCAGGGCTGCAAATCCAGCACGCTGGGTGTCTGGGCCAGAAGAGCGGCGCCGGGCGGCAAAGCCAGCGCCGCGCCGGCGCGGGAAGAGCAGGAAAGTGCCCTCTCCAGGACGCAGTCGCGAGGGCTCCCCCAGCCCGTCGGGCGTCGGCCGCCGGAGAAGTGGACCCGGCGGGGGGGCTGCGGAGCGGGCGGGTGGCTCGCTGGGAAGCCGGGCCGTCCCCGGCGAGTTCCGGCGCGGAGGGCGGAGCGGAAGCGTGGCGCCGTGGGTTACACGCGCATCAGCGGGCGCAGCTGCTGCCAGCTGAGAGCGGGAAGCTGGCTGGTCCTCCGGCAACGTGATGGGGACACCCGGGGACATCCTTACTTCCTGTGAGACTGGCTGCCTGGAGAGAAAAGCCAGAGCAAGACGCCAGCGTTGTGCGGTCTCCGCACAGAATCCCCTCTGTCCCACTCAGTCCCTCTTTCAGCCGGCTTAGAAGTGAGGGAAACTTCCCTCCCCCAGGTCGCCTGTTCTGTGGCCGGGGCTCGACTGGCAGGCCAGTTTTTCCTCACAGGAAGCAGGCCCTTTGGTGCGGGTTGCTCAGCCAGCTTTGCTGGCAACAGCTCACAGGTTTGTTGAGCCCACAGGACACACAACGCCCATGGCTAGCTGAGCCGTCCACACAGCGACCATGCTAGGCTGCTAGATGTGGGGCCAGGCCAGCCGCCAGCTGCTGGTGTCACTGTCACTATGAACTGGGGATCCCTGCCCCAGTGGCACCTTCCTCCTGGCTGAGCCGCCCCTGGATTTGCCGCATTTCCTCTGCACCTGACCTGGGCTACGGCTGGCTCGGCTGGGGTTTGGGGCGTGTTTCCCAGTGGGAGGCGGGAGGGGTCCCAACCTGGCTCCCCAGCCATGGCCATTACCCCCACTTCCAACCCAGCATGTCCCCAGCTGACCAGAGCGCCCAGGGCCCGGCCAGGAAGGTAGTGGGGTGGGGCGGGCTGGGGGCGGCCACAGAAATGCGCATATCCTGAGCGGGACCCCTTTCATCCTGCCTGACCTTCTTTTGTTCTGTCCTTTTGTTTCCCCTGAGTTTTGGTAAAGCCCCTCTAGAAAGGTTCAGCTCAGCTGGGGCGTGGAGGTGGAGGGGCTATCAACTGGCAGAGGCTGGAAGGCGACAGAGAAAGACAAAGTTGTCCTTACAGTGAGCCTCAGGTGAGAGGGTGAGAGGGAGGCCCCAGGGAGAGAGTGGGGGCCCTTGGGCCCATCCCATTTGCAGGCCCTCTGACAGCCCCTCCATCCAGCCTGCGAGCAGACACCCGCTTCTGTTTGACCTGGGGGTGGCCTGAGAGGCTGGGCCAGGCAGGGACACAGCGGCTGGACCAGGGGCTGGACCACCTTCCACCAGGGCAGGTCTGAGTTTCAGGGCTAACCCCAGGGCAGTAGGGCCAGCTCAGGGCCAAATCTCTAAGCTCCACAGAGGGTAGGGGGGAAGGGGCTTCTCTCTCAGTGACCTGCCTGGAGGTCTCCCTCCTCAGCTTGAGTTTGAGTCACTGAGGCCAAAGGGAATTTAATAGGAAGGAAGATTCATGCAGAACCTGTCCCTGGAGGAAAGGAAGCCGCCCGCTGGGGCCTGTTTGTGTTTGGAAGGGAAGCAGGCCTTCTCCCCTTCTGGCCTGGCCTGGCACACACAGGAGCACGGGGCCAAATACAGCAGCAAAATGCCCCTCCCTCCGGGTGGGCGGGTAGCCATCCTCCCATGCCAGCGGGGCCCAGGCTGACTTACTCGGCAGGCCCCTTGTGGAGGACGCTGTGGAGCCGGGGCGGCTGGCCTGCTGGGGGCCACACGAAGAGAACGGAGGGGCCAGAACTGACGCCTTTGCCTTGGGTAGGTTCCAGTCCAGCATCTCTGGAGTGCCGGGGGCCCGGGGCTTGCAGGTGAAGGCTGATGCACATTCCCTAGAACAAAACGTGCAACCTGGAGTCCCAGCTACCACAGTGTTAGAAACTACAGGAGGGGCCGGATGTGGTGGCTCCCGCCTGTAATCCCAGCACTCTGGGAGGCCAAGGCAGATGAATCACCTGAGTTCAGGAGTTCGAGACCAGCGTGGCCAACATGGTGAAACCCCATCACTACTAAAAATACAAAAATTAGCTGGGCGGGGTGGTGGGTGCCTGTAATTCCAGCTCCTCAGGAGGCTGAGGCAGGAGAACCCCTTGAACCTGGGAGGAGGTTGCGGTGAGCCAAGACTGCACCATTGCACTCCAGTCTGGGTGACAAGAGCAAAATTCTGTCTCAAAAAAAAAAAAAGAAAAGAAAAAAAAAAACTGGCCGAGCACAGTGGCTCACGCCTGTAATCTAACACTTTGGGAGGCTGAGGCAGGTGGATCACCTGAGGTCAGGAGTTGGAGACCAGCCTGACCAATATGGTGAGACCCCCCCCCATCTCTACTAAAAATACAAAAATCACCCAGGCGTGGTGGCAGACGCCTGTAGTCCCAGCTAGTCAGGAGGCTGAGACAGGAGAATTGCTTGAACCTGGGAGGCAGAGGTTGCAGTGAGCCAAGATCACACCACTGCACTCCAGCCTGGGTGACAGAGCGAAACTCCGTCTCAAAATAAATAAATAAATAAACAAACAAATACATAAAAAAGAAGCCACAGGCAGAAGGAGACAATGGGCATAGGGTGGGGAAATGCAGGCACCAATGGGAAAGAATCCCTGCGCCATGGAGCTTTGGGTCCGGCCCCACTGCTCTCCATAAGGTGACTGCACGGATGTTCCCTGATACCTTGGGAGCCTCAGTTTCCCTGCCTGTAAAATGTCTAAGGAACAGCTGTGAAAATTCAGTGAGGTCATATTCTGGGCCCAGTTGTTAGGACCCCTTAGATGGAGGTATGGTTCTGGGAAGTAGGACTTGGGAGGAGACTGTGGGATTCTTTGGTTTGATTTGTTTCTATATGCCTTTTTTTACATTGACAATATACCACTTTAATAATGAGAAAAATAGGTCAGGCGCAGTGGCTCACGCCTGTAAGCCCAGCACTTTGGGAGGCCAAGGCGGGCAGATCATGAAGTCAGGAGATCGAGACCAGCCTGGCCAGCATGGTGAAACCCGTCTCTACTAAAAATACAAAAAATTAGCCAAGCACGGTGGTGCGCACCTGTAATCCCAGCTACTCAGGAGGCTGAGGCAGGAGAATCACTTGAACCCGGGAGGTGGAGGTTGCAGTGAGCCAAGACTGTGCCACTGCACTACAGTCTGGGCGATAGAGTGAGACTCTGCCTCAAAAAAAAAAAAAAGTTTTTATATATATATACACACACACACACACATATACACACATACACATATATAAAATAATTTAAAAAATAATACTTACATCTGAAAAGTCTCCAAATCCAAATTGGAAAACAGTGGTATACAAACTGCTCATACTTTTTAGGTAAGAAGTCTTCAAACTAGGTTCAAAAGTATAGTAGGGATTTAGCCCTATTATTATTATTTTTTAATTGTAACATAGCTGGGTGTGGTGGCTCATGCCTGTAATCCCGGCACTTTGGGAGGCCGAGACAGGTAGATCGCTTGAGCTCAGGGGTTCGAGATTAGACTGGGCAACATGGCCAAATCCCATCTCTACAAAAAAAAATACAAAAATTAGCTGGGCATGGTGGCACGTGCCTGTAGTACCAGCTACTTGGGAGGCTGAGGCAGGAAGATCACTTGTGCCTGGGAGGTCAAGGCTGCAGTAAGCCTTGTTCACACCACGGCCCTCCAACCTGGGCAACAAAGTGTGACCCTGTCTCAAAAATTAAAATTTTTGTATCACTCATAACACTACTCCCCTAAATATTTTCCACATTCTACCTTTTGCCTATGTGACATTGTTGCTTACTTGTAGGTACAGTAACAGGCTCCTGTTACCACTCTGCTTTTATGAGTCTCACCCCACCCTCTCCACACATCCACGCAGACTGTCGTTTAGCATTTACAAGAGTTGGGTATTATTTCTTCTGATGTATATACTCGGATTTAATGAATGGATGCTCTGCTTTTCTTTCATTCATTGATAGAGCTCATGGTGCTGAGAATTCTGCTAGGGGCTGGGGATCAGAGATCAGGATGCATCTCCTGATGGGATGAGTTCACAGATACACGGGGCTATCTGACCAGGGAACTGGGTTGTCAAATCATTACATGAAAGCTTTGCTGATGTGTTTACACATACAAAGGAGCTTTGTACATGGTCTAGTGAGGTGGCTTCTTTCTTTTTTAAACTGATACATAATTGTACATATTTATGGGGTACAGTGTGATATTTTGATGCAGGTATAATATGTGTAACCATCAAATGTGGTGTTTTAATATTATTTGGTTCAAATTTTTATGTTTTACTATTCATATTTTGACATTTTGTGTCATTACTATAATAGTTAACTTATTTTAATTTATCTTTTTTTTTTTGAAATGGAGTTTTGCTTTTGTTGCCCAGGCTGGAGTGCAATGGTGCGATCTCGGCTCACTGTAACCTCCGCCTCCTGGGTTCAAGTTCTCGTGACTCAGCCTCCCGAGTAGCTGGGATTACAGGCATGCACTAGCACGCCCGGCTAATTTTTGTATTTTTAGAAGAGACGGGGTTTCACAGTGTTGGCCAGGCTGGTCTCAAACTCCTGACCTCAGGTGATCCACCCACCTCTGCTTCCCAAAGTGCTGAGATTACAGGTATGAGCCACCGCGCCCGGCCAGTTCACTTATTTTAAATTGTAGTAAAATATCCACAATATTTACCATCTTTAGCATTTTTAAGTGTAGCCCTGCCATATTTTAAGAAGGAACAACAGAAAACCTAGTAAAAATGACTCACATGAATAGCGGTACTATTCCTGGCAGTGGTAAGGGCAGGGGTTAGTGCTTGGTTAGCCCCTGGACCATCACATGGTCTTGGGGGGCAGGGCAGCCAGCACCAGCTAGCCTGGGAGGCAGCCCTCAAAGGCAGCCAGGGCCCCCCAGGGTTGGAGGAGCTGGCTGTGCAAGTCCGGGAGGGATAACTGGCTTCCATATGGCGCCTTAAAGCCAATGGGCAGCAAGGTCAAGTTGCAGGGTCAGGGTCAGCTGAGGTGAGTCAACAAGAAGCCCAGGGAGAGAAAGCCTGGGCAGCAGGGCCCAGGACTACGTGACCTCCCACCCCAGGGATAACCGGAAGAGGACACCGTCTTTTTGGAGAGCAATTTGGCACTGGGTATCAAAGTCCTTATGTGATGGCCATTACAAATAATTTTTTAAAATTCGTTTTGCTTTGCTTTGTTTTGAGACGTAGTCTCGTTCTGTAGCCCAGGCTGGAGTGCAGTGGCGTGATCTTGGCTCACTGCAACCTCCACCTCCCTGGTTCAAGCGATTCTCCTGCCTCAGCCTCCCGAGTAGCTGGGATTACAGGCATGCACTAGCACGCCCGGCTAATTTTTGTATTTTTAGAAGAGACGGGGTTTCACAGTGTTGGCCAGGCTGGTCTCAAACTCCTGACCTCATGATCCGCCCGCCTCAGCTCCCAAAAGTGCTGGGATTATAGGCACGAGCCACCGCGGCTGGCCCAATTTTTAAAATTTTATTATTTTTTTAGAGGTAGGGTTTCGCTAATGTTGCCCAGGCTGGCCTCACACTCCTGGCCTCAAGAGATCCTTCCACCTTGGCCTCCCACAGTGCCAGGATTACAGGCATGAGCCACCATGCCTGGCCCATAATGGTTATTTTTATGGGCCAGGCATGGTGGCCCAGTTTGGCTGGGCCATGGTGCCCAGATATTCAGTCAAATATTATTCTAGATGTTTCTGTGAAGTTCTGTTTTGGACAAGATGAACGTTTAAATCAGTGGGCTCTGAGTGAGGCAGATCACCCTCCATAACATGAGTGCCCCATCCAGTCAGCTGAAGGCCATAACAGAAAAAGATTGGCATTCCCTGAGCAAGAAGGGGTTCTGCCAGCTGGTGGCCTTTGGACCTGAACTGCAACTCTCCCCTGACTCTCCAGCCTGCTGGCCTACCCCATCAGATTTTGCACTTGCCAAGCCTGTCCAATCACATGAGTCAATTCCCTAAAATCAGCTTCTCTGCTTCCCTGGAGAGTCCTAACTAATATACCTTAAGCCTGCCCCCCCCTCCCTAGGACATGGCTGTGAGTGGTGGGAATGAGCCTCCTCAGACTGGGGCTCCCGCTGGCTGGCCCCTCCCACTGGCACTGGAGAAAATAGCCCTCGTGGCCAGGCGCGGTGGCTCACGCCTATAATTCCAGCACTTTGGGAAGCCGAGGCGGGTGGATCACCTGAGGTCAGGAGTTCGAGACGAGCCTGGCCAACATAGTGAAACCCCGTCTCTACTAAAAATACAAAAATTAGCTGCGGGTGGTGGCGCATGCCTGTAATCCCAGCTACTCGGGAGGCTGAGGCAGGAGAATCATTTGAACCCAGGTGGTGGAGGTTGCAGTGAGCTGAGATCACACCATTGCACTCCTGGCCAACAGGGCGAGACTTTGTTTCAAAAAAAAAAGAAAGTGGCCCTCAGCAGAGCATCAGGGAGCTGCCCCTTGGCCTGGCAGAGCCCACCCCGTGAGGCAGTCTGACCACCTTGGGGGCTGCTGCAGGCGGTGCCTGTGTGGACCTAGGAGGCTAGGCCCCTGCAGTGGACGCTCTAGCCGCTCTGGGAAGGATGCAGTGGGAGGTGGGGTGGACGGCTGTTGGTAAGCGTCAGCTGGGCCCCTGGTGGCCTCAGGGCCCGCCATCCCCCCAGCATGGTGAGCTCAGCAGCCTGGAGGCAGCCAGGAGCCAGGGCCAGGAAATGGTGCTGGTCTGGCCCGAGATGAGGCCAGATTAGGGCAGAGCAGAGAAACCATGTGGAAAGGAAGTCCAGGACGGCAGTCACCTATGACATACGGGAAGTCATGTGCCGCAGAAACGCACGGGACTGGGTCCTGGCAAAAACGTAAAGGGTGATATACGGGAAAGTTGGGAGGTGCTCTGCAAGGTAGCTGATTGTTTATTAGAGCAGCCTGGCCCTTATGGGATCTCAGCTTATCAACAGGAACATTGTGTTGAGAGGGAAGAGCCATAACATGCCTCGGGAGATGCTGAATCTTTCCCTGTGTTTGGAATGCTGCTGAGTCATAATCCGGCTGCTGAGCATCACCCAGCAGAGGATCCTGTGTCCCTTCTGTTTGCATTAAGGCCAAACAAAAGCATTCAGGGCCCCTAGGCGACTCTGCCCAGAGGGTTCGTAACCGGCTGTCAGTTATTGCTGCGGACATTTCATCTGGGTGATGAGAAAACCCAGAAAGGGGCAGAGGTGGGGAAATGGGCCAGAACAGAGTACACCAGATAAAGGCAGACAGGAACCAGCTGCACACATAGCTCCTGTGCCGTGGGCACACATTGGGCAACACGTCTCAAGCTCCTCGGCCTCCTGAGGCTTCATGTGTCGTTTTTCTTTTTTTTTTGAGACACAGTCTCGCTCTGTCACCCAGGCTGGAGTGCAGTGGCACGATCTTGGCTCACTGCAACCTCCGCCTCCTGGGTTCAAGCGATTCTCCTGCCTTAGCCTCCAAAGTAGCTGGGATTACAGGCATGCACCACCATGCCTGGCTAATTTTTGTATTTTTAGTAGAGACAGGGTTTCCCATGTTGGTCAGGCTAGTCTCAAACTTCTGGACCTCAGGGGATCCGCCTGCCTCGGCCTCCCAAAGTGCTGGGATTACAGGCGTGAGCATGTGTTGTTTCTTTAGCTGGATGCATGAATGTGTCATTGGGAGCTGCTGTCCATCCTCAGGGACAAACATGAGGGGAAAGGCATACATGTAGACATATGTACAATCTCTTCTCATTTTAAAAATGTCATAGCACTTGCGAAATAATCACTTCTCATCTGTGGCAGGACAGGATCTTGGACATTTGCTTCTGATCGTGTCCTGGGCCTGGGTGCGAGGAGCTCCTCAGACAGAGCCCCCTCCCTCACCTGTCCTCAGGCCACGTGGAGGTGAACTTCCAGGCACAAGCACCCGGCACCCGGCTGGGGCTGCTCTTCTGGAGTGGCAGGGCCATGCTGAGAAGGACCGACAGGTGACAGTCAAGGCAGCCCTGCCATCACCTTCCTGCACATTCCGGGGCGCAAGTCAGCCTCTGTGGACTGACATACTTCGTGGGGAGCACCTGGGCTCTTCGCAGGATATATGCATTTCTTCCTTAATTTAAATACATCTTTAAAGCCTGATCAACACTAGTTTTCTCCTGCTACTTAATCTAAGGAGTCTAAGAAGCTGACCAAGGAAAAGGGAAATTTCACCACGGGGGTTGGGGGAAGGCAGTACGATTGTAGGGTCTGGGCTTTTTTTTTTTTTTTTTGAGACGGAGTCTCACTCTGTCGTCCAGGCTGGAGTGCAGTGGCGCAATCTCAGCTCACTGCAACTTCGGCTTCCCAGTTCAAGCGATTCTCCTGCCTCAGCCTCCCGAGTAGCTGGGACTACAAGCACGCGCCACCACGCCCAGCTAATTTTTGTATTTTTAGTAGAGACAGGGTTTCACCATGTTGGCCAGGATGATCTTTATCTCTTGACCTCGTGGTCCACCCACCTCGGCCTCCCAAAGTGCTGGGATTACAGGTATGAGCCACCACGCCTGGCAGGTCTGGACTTTTATTCCCCAGCCTCCGAGAAAGCAATTTTACAGCAAGACAGTTGCTGGAATTCACTGGAGCAGAGCTTGAGTGGCCATTAGCCTTAAAACACCTGAAAGCTGAGCTAAGTAACCAGTGCCATCATTCAGTCTACCACTGACCCAGGGCCCCACTGTCCCAGGGGCTTCCTGCCCATCTACCAATTCCTCTTCTGGGTGTGAGACCTCACCTGAAAGAGCAAGAGAGCAGAGCTCAGGGAAGTTGAGGGGACAAACGTTCCCCACCAAAGCCATATAGAGAACCACTCTTTCTCCCTTTCTCCCACTTGTTCATCAACAGGTACTCTGACCACCTAGGCCAGGCACAGGAGCACAGCGCAGACGCCCTGCACTCCTGGCACACTCCCTGCAGCCATGCATTTCCTGCACTCCTGGCACACTCCCTGCAGCCATGCATTTCCTGCACTCCTGGCACACTCCCTGCAGCCATGCACTCCTGGCACACTCCCTGGAGCCCTGCACTCCTGGCACACTCCCTGCAGCCATGCATTTCCTGTACTCCTGGCACACTCCCTGCAGCCCTGCATTCCTGGCACACTCCCTGCAGCCATGCACTCCTGGCACACTCCCTGCAGCCATGCATTTCCTGCACTCCTGGCACACTCCCCGCAGCCCTGCACTCCTGGCACACTCCCTGCAGCCATGCATTTCCTGCACTCCTGGCACACTCCCCACAGCCCTGCACTCCTGGCACACTCCCCGCAGCCCTGCACTCCTGGCACACTCCCTGCAGCCCTGCACTCCTGGCACACTCCCTGCAGCCCTGCACTTCCTGAATACCTTGCACACTGTGCACACTCCTGCATGCCCTACATTCCCCGTACACCCAGCAGGCCCTGCACACTCTCTATGCCTGGACACTGTGCTTGTCTCTGAGGCAGTGAGAGGCAGCCACATGACAACACAGTGGGGTCTCCCCACAGTCTCACGGAGGGACTCTGGCTCCTGTGAGCCTGGCAGAAGGGCGTGACCCGCACTTTGGGGTCAGGCAAGAGGAAGGGATGCTTAGCTGAGACCTGAATTGGGGCTGAAGTCAGCCTGACAAGAGATGGCCTCTTATCATTTAGAATATTATGGCATTCTAGATGAGGTATACCACATACATATGAGGTATATATATATATCTCTCATCTAGAATGCCGTAATATTCCAGATGATGTTGCCAGTGAGGGAGGAAGGGGGAGATGGAACAACTTGTACTTCTCCCTCTTTCCATCCTATTCTTCCTCACACTGAACCCCCAGGCTTAAAATGCGAGTTGGCTTTAGTGACTGACACCAAGGGGAGGGCACTTCTAGGCTGGACCCTGAGGGGTCTTTGTGCCCAGCAGAATCTTGGGGGGCCAGTGAGGCAACCCTGCTTGATGTAATGAGGTCTCTCGGGGTCGGCTGCCTACCTACTGTCAAAACAGTTATTTCTGGGGAGAGAGGGCTGTCCCAGTGGAGAGCCTCAGAAATGAACTCAGCATTTGCAGGAAGTAAAAAGAAGCGGCCTACACCGGAAGGGCACGTTTGGCCTGGCTGAACCGCAGGGGAGGATCCAGTCTGGACTGGCGGCATGAGAGAGCTTTGGCCCACCCCTCAGTGGTCTCTCATTTTGAGTCCCCATTTCAGGGGGATGCTGAGAGCCTGAGAACCCCTGGTCTGGCAGATGAGCTCCTCTTCAGCCACAGAGAGAGGGGAGGCCCAGGTAGGGGAGGTGGGTCCCTGGGTCCCCAGGCAGGTTGGCAGTGGGACTGGAGGAGTCCAGGGGCTTGGCCCCTCCCCCAGTAATGCGGCCACCTTTGACACCTCTGCTTCTTGGCCAGCACTGTCCCCACCCTTCCCTAGCCCAGGTCCTAAAGTCCTTCCCATCCTTCCCACAGTTCCAATTTCGGCTTCTAGCCCATCCCCACCCAAGGAAGCTCAGCACACTCGTCTGCATCCCCTTTCTCCTGCATCCTCCTCCTGTCTGCCACTTCCCATTGATTTCTCCTCCTGCCTCTTTCTCTCTCTCTGATTTTCCCCACCAGTGGGTGCAGGTTCTGCTCGGTCTTCCTGCCTGTCCTCTCCCGGGGCCCCCAGAACTAAGCTGAGCCTGCTCCAGTCCCGTATTTCACCCCAGGAGGTTGGCTTCCTTCATGGCCAGGAGGAAGTGGTGAGAGGCAGCTGGCGTGCCTGGTGGTCAGGGACAGGCAGCGTCTGAGACCCAGGCCAGGCCCCTCTCCCTGAACAGGTTTCTCCAGATCCAAAAGAAAGAGCTGGCGAGATTGGAAAGGTCCTTTCTAGACCCTAAAGAAGGCCTGATAACCCACGGGGCCAGTCTGTGCTCACGTGGTACAGTGGAAGAGAGGACAGCGTTCTGTTTTTCTTCTGCTTAGGGGTCCAGTTTCTTCTTTTTTTTCATTTATTTATTTATTTATTTATTTGAGACAGGGTCTCACTATGTTGCCCAGGCTAGTTTCCAATTCCTGGGCTCAAGCAATCCTCCTGCTGCCTTGGCCTCCCAAAGTGCTGGGATTATAGGCGTGCGCCACCATGCCCCGGCCTGGAGGCCCAGTTTCTGTTTCAGGCAGTGACCTCTGAGCCAAACCATTTACTCACCTCCTTCTCCATCTTTCTGCCCTCCAGCCCACCTCCTCCAAATGCAAAAAGCTAAGATAGGACACTGTCCTTAAGTCACCCCATCACACAGCCCCGGACATGTCCGCCTGGCAGTTCTGAAAACTGGTCCTGTGGGCATGCTTCCGAGTGCCGTGTCCTTCCCGTCTGCCTGACAGCTCTCAGGCAGCACAGCCCTCCGAGGGTGGCCAGGAGTGGTAGCTGCACTTCACCGGGAATCTTGACGCTGCTCCTTGGCTTCCCCTGTCAGATGGTGGGCCTCAGAGGAGCCTTCCAAGTCTCCTGGGTGCTCTGCATCCGGCGTGGGGCACCCACTCCCAGAGCACTGAGAGTAAGGTTCGAGGTCTAGTGACATCCCCCTTACCTGGTGGTCTCTCCACTGCCTGGGTCCTGGGGCACCTCCCTTGGCTGGCGGGAGGTCCCCGTGGGGGCCGGATGAGGCTCCTCCTGGCGTGCTCTTGGGAGCCACTCTCCTGGCTTGGCGTTGATGGCTGCTGGGGAGGAGGAGAGAAAGTTCAGTCCACATCTGCTGTGGAGCCCCTCTAAGGATGCCCTCTCCTGGGCTGGGCTGGAAAGCCAAGAAAAGCACACACCCCAGGCCAGGCCCTGCGGGCTCCCTGGCGCCTGTGGCTTGGGATACTTGTTTACTCGTGCAGCCCGGGAACTTGCCAGGCAGCGGGGGATGGCAGGCACACTGCTGGCGGCAACAGGCACGGCCCAGGGAGGTGCAGATCACCCTGGCCGCTCAGCCTTCCTGGCACCCCTCAGCCTCTGGAAAGCCCTCAGAACAACGAATTGTCTCCCTGGGCCATGGCTACGCATCTCCAGATGAAACGTGGAGGCATATTTGCTTATCTGAAACTCAAATGTAACTGGGTGGCATGTAGTTTGATCTGCTAAAACCAACAACGTGAGAGGTAGGGTGCTCCTCACTGAGCAGCCCAAGGCTCCTTAATGCTGAACCCCTAAGTACACCCGGGGTGGCCAGGAAGTGCCCTCACTCCCAATGACTGGTGCCGTAGCTAATGCCCACCCGGAACCAGGCCACCTGGGATACACAGGAGCCCTTCACGGGGAAGCAGATGGAGAATCCTAGAGAGCATCATAGCATATGGAGGGCTCCCCAATGGCCTGGGGACAGATGTTCCTGCATCTCAGATGCCACGTACCCCTTCTCCCACCCCACCTCTCCTCTTCTCCTACAGCTGAGGGGGGCCATGTCACTGCTGCAGTGACTGTGACAGAGGCTGCATCCGCAACTCCCTTAGGCCAAGCTCCTCTCAGCTCTTTCATTTTAGAAGCAGCTCTGCAGCTTTGCAATGTGATCTATTTAATCTTAAATATAAAGGGATCTTCCCTGCAGGTTTCCCTGTAGCAAGGGGCTTTGACTTCCAGATAATTCTCTTTTGACCCAAACGAGAATCTATTTCTGATACCAGAACCCAGCAGGTGGCACTGGGCGGTCTCCACCTGTATCTGGGTCTAGAAATAGAGCTTCAGGACAGGTGGCACCTGCTCCATGTGCTTAGAATAAGGCCAGGAGACAAAGCATAGGTGTACAAGAGAATACTTGAGTGAAGTCACACTGAATTGCTGGGCTACACGCAGGGGAACCCCATTACAACGTGTGGAGTCACAAAGCTGTGCCCACGTCAGGCAAGTCCTCTAGGACCAGGATCAGGAGCTTCCCAGGGCGTGTGAGGGTAGGGGACGGGGTGGTCATAAAAAGGAGGAACTGAGCTGCAGTGTCCTGAGACCATGAGGTGGTCTTGGTTCAACTGTCCCATGTTCCTCTCCTACTTCCTCTAGCACAGGACACACTGCAGACTTTCAGAGGTCCCACCGAGACCAGCCGAACATGGTGGCTCACGCCTGTAATCTCAGCACTTTGGGAGGCTGAGGCAGGCAGCTTGAGGTCAGGAGTTTGAGACCAGCCTGGCCAACATGGTGAAACCCTGTCTCTACTAAAAATACAAAAATTAGCCGGGTATGGTAACACATGCCTATAATCCTAGCTATTCAGGAGGGTGAGGCAGAGGAATCACCTGAACCTGGGAGGCAGAGTTTGCAGTGAGCCAAGATCACACCACTGCACTCCAGCCTGGGCGAGAGAGCGAGACTCCATCTCAAAAAAAAAAAAAAAAAAAAGAACAAGAGACTCCCTAACTAAGAGAGCCAGGAGCCAGGAGATAGGGCAGCCATGGGTGTGCACCGGGGGCTTCCTGGGACAGTAGTATCTCTTGCCTGCTGGTCCATCAGACAGGGCTGGGCATTTTAACTCCCAGGGCTATGAAGTCCCAAGGCATATGATTTTGATATTGAAGATAGTCCCGGTTGGTGGGGAAATGAGAATAGCTTTCCTCAGGCCAATGTTTTGCAAAATGCTAAGCCATATTATTGGCCTTTTCCCTTGGGAACTATTTCCTCCTGGCATTTGGGGCTGAGTCTTTTGCCTAGAATGTTCTTTCTGGCCCTGCGTTCAACCGATCAAGCAGTCTGAGGGTCCAACAGGTTCCCCCTCATGAGTTTTCCCTGCAGTGCTGACTGAACGCAAAGCACAAAGGCTCTTCCTCAAGGAACTCAATGTGAAGGTGGGGGTTTCCACGGGGTCTCTGGGTGGGGCGTTAGTAGTTCCCAGCACAGGCCAGACTCAGCAGCGAGCTGTGTGCAAGGAGACCTGTGGGGAGTACTGCCTGGGGCCAGGATGGGCCTGGGGCAAGGTGAGTGAGAGAAGAGAAGTGGAGGGGGCCCCATGCCTGTAATCCCAGCACTTCGGGAGGCTGAGGTGGGAGGATTGCTTGAGCCCAGGGGTTCAAGACTAGCCTGGGCAGCACAGAGAGACACCTTTCTCTACAATCAATCAATCAATCAATCAATCTATCAATCAATTGAAGTGGAGGGGAGGGATGGAGAAGCAGGACTGTCTGGAGGAAGTCAGAGCAAGCTCCTGAGCAGGGAAGGAATGAAACAGAAGGCAGCGTGGCTCAGGGGTGCCCACGCCCAGCCCAGCACTGCCCGCTCTCTGCTCTCTCTGATGCTCATCCCCCTCCACATCACTCATCCCCTGGCTTAACGGGCTTAATCGCAGTCCCCTTATCTGCAGAGCCCAGACGGAGCACAGAAGCAGAGGCCTGTATGCCATCTATCCCTTAGGCAGAGGCAGGTGACAGGATAGGGAGAGGGGCAGGGAGGCCAACCGGGGAGACGCAGCAGGCCGTGGGCAGTCCTGTCTGAAAGGAAGTAACTCAGAATGGGAATCTACTCCAGGCATGGCAAAGGCTTACTCATGACCTGGAGGAAACTTCACCTGGGGCTCGGTTTTTCCAAAGGAAGAACTTTTTGTCAAGTAAAAGGATTTTAAAGGAGACTAAGAGGGTCAGGCATGATGGCTCATGCCTGTAATCCCAGTGCTTTGGGAGGCTCAGGCGGGAGGATTACTTGAGACTAGGAGTTCAAGACTAGCCCAGGCAACAGAAAAACTCCATCTTTACAAAAAATTTAAAGAAAACAAAACTTTGCTTGGCATGGTGGTGCATCTGTAGTGCCAGCTACTCAGGAGGCTGAAGTGGGAGGATCGCTTAGGCACAGGAGTGTGAGGCTGCAATGAGCTATGTGTGATTGGCCACTGCACGCCAGCCTGGGGGACAGAGTGAGACCTTGTCTCAAAATAAAATAAAATAAAGTAAAATAAAATAAAATAAAATAAAGTAAAATAAAATAAAATAAAATAGAAGGAGGACTAGGGGTGTTGGCCTGAGGCTCAGAGCGGGCCTGGCAGGACCAGGGAGGGTAGCGACTATTCCTGGTCTCTGGCAGGTGGAGAAGAGCAGGGCGGGGGGTCAGTGTCCTGGGTCCCAGCCAGGCTGAGCCAATAGGAGCAGGCCTGAAGGAGGGACACTCAGAATACAGTCTCAGCATTTGGGGCAGGTTAATGGGGGCATCGACAGCAGGATTTGGGAAGAGCACTGCTCTGGCTCCAGCTGGTCCAACTGGGGGTGCTGGTGGGCAGCTGCTGCCTCCCTAGGAAGCAGCACTGGCAACCACCCATGACCACTAAGGCTGAGTCTCCTGGTGGGTGCCCACCCTGTTCATGCAAGGACCCGGAATGTGCCTGGGCCCAGACTTTGTCAGGGCTCAAGTAAACTGCTCTTGAAAAGAACAATAACGTGAACACTGCAGCAGCCGCTCCTTGGCCTTTTCCATCCATGCCAACCTCAAGTGCCTCCGCTCTGCAGGTAACAGCATGGCAGCTTCCCAAAGGCACGTCCAATCAGTGCAAAAATAAAGGGCCTCTTAGTGGTCATTTTGGTAAAGCAAGGATGTTACCCCTACGTTACCCTGAATGTACTGTGGAGCCTTTTAGGAAGTCCAGGCCTAAGAATTTGAAATCAGTTTTAACTCAATGGCATTCAGTCAAACTGGCAAAACTTGTTAGACGCCCCCTAAGACCTCCACCCCGACAGCAGAAATCTCTGGAGAAATTACTAAGCTGCTCACCTTTAGAGAGCACACGAATATTGACAGCTCTAGTAAAGCACGGGCAAAATAACTGATGATCAATGCTGGCAAAACCTCTGAAACTGCTCACCACCAAGAGACCCAGGGTCCCACATAACCCAGCCACTGCTGACTCGTCACTGGCTACCGCTCTGCACCTGGGTCTGGAAGCATCTGAATCCAATTGTGAGCAGATGCAAGTTCTCAGATGTTTCTCAGACAGGAATCCAACCCGTTCCTCTGTTGTTTTTCCTACTCAAATGGAAATTAGAGTCTTATCTGAACTGCTCATAATCCTTTTAATTTCCTTTCAAAAATTAAAAAAAAATACTTTGTACATTTCTGATTCAAAGCATATATATTTTTTCTGGCATCTAAAAAATACTTTTATCTCCCATCAGCCTCTGGTTAACTCAGCTGGAAGTTTCAAACGCGTTTGGATCCCAGAGTTGTTTGTGCTTTTAGTTGCACATTTCTGCCTCGGTCCAGCCTTCCAGCAGGCGGCTGGCCTCCTCTGCACGAGAATCTGAGCTACCAGAACCAGGGATTCTGAGCTACATCAGCCTGGGATTTCTCCTCTGAAGTTTCATATTAAAGCCGGCTTTCACCAGTCAGAAATCTTGCCCCAGGAGCTCCCAGACGGGACAGCAGGCAGTGCTCCGAGAAGGGGACGCAGAGGACCAGCCCAGCATGGGTCTGGCTGTGGGCTGGGAATCCCATCAGCCTCTGTGACACAGGGCTGTGGCTGAGACCAGAGGGCTTCCCGGGAGCAGGTGTGCATCTGCCACTCCTGCTGCTGTTTCGCGTGCGTTCTAGACATCACAGTTCCAGAACTGACCCGACGTGCTGCCTGTGTTCTTACATGAAGAGGAGACGCGGGACTCCGGGGTGCTGGGCTTGCCCTCCCTGTAGACAGCCTCGTGAGGGTTTGGCAGGGCCTGCGGGTGGCTGTTTGTGGGGTGTTGGGCTGTCTGGGGAGGTGTGTGATGGTCTTCCAGCCTGGAGAAAAACATGAAAAACGGTAGTAAGTACAGCCAGCCAGGAGATTCGGACCGCCGAATGCTGTGCAGCATCACAAATACAGGAGGGGGCGGTGCCTCAAAGTCCTGTTAAACCATCATTGGCATATCAGACCTTTTAAAGGGTCTTGGCAGGAGCCAGGAGGCTGACCCTGTGAGGCAGTAGCCTCCTCTTGCTCCTGTTAGCCCCCTTCTGTATTCACAGTGATACATGGCGTGGTGTATTCCTAACACACAATTATGTCTTACCACTCTGGGTGACATGGGGCCATGACATTTCAAGCAAACAACGTAAGGCACCGATCTCCTGGTTTTCTCCAAGGATTAAGCATATGAATGAAGGGATGAATCCAACCAGAGAAGACATAACAAGTCATGTCAGCCGTGGCAAGTGTTGGCCAAGAACAAGACTGAAGAATTTTCTTCTTTTTTTTTCCTTAGAGACAGGGTTTCACTCTGTTGCCTAGGCTGGGGTGCCATGGTGCAACCACAGCTCACTGCACCCTTGACCTCCCAGGCTCAAGTGATCCTCCCATCTCAGCCTCTGGAGTAGCTGGGACTACAGATGGGCGCCTCCACACTCAACTGATTTTTTAATTTTTTGCAGAGACAAGGTCTCTCTATGTTGCCAGGACTGGTCTCGAACTCCTGGGCTCAAGCAATTCTCTCACCGTGGCCTCCCAAAGTGCTGGGATTGCAGGCGTGAGCCACTGTGACTGGCCTAGAACTTACTTTCTTATAACACTACCTAAAGGATGTGTGCAGAACAGCTCCTTTGCAGTGTCTAATGTTGGCACCCAAGCTGGGGGAAGACACCCTCGCCCAGCAGGCAAGCGCTGAGAGCTTCATGCACCAGATCCAGCCAGATGCGAGGGCCAGCTGGCTGGGACAGCCTCATTGGGTCAGCCTTGACCACAGATCCCCGAGGAAGGCCCTCTAGTTATCTATAAGGCAATGGAGCACTCGCTCCCCCTTCAACAAGGAGATATGGGCCACCTACGCCAACAAGGGCTCAGTGGGGGGCACACAACAAACTCGTGCCTGCCTAGGGCTGGGCCCTGCAAATGGCTGTTCTTGAATGTCAATTTCATATGTCTGGCTGGGTGTGGTGGCTCACGCCTGTAATCCCAGCACTTTGGGAGGCCGAAGAGGGCAGATCACTTGAGGTCAGGAGTTCGAGACCAGCTTGGCCAACATGGTGAAACTCCATCTCTACTAAAAATACAACAATTAGCCAGACGTGGTGGCGTATGCCTGTAGTCCCAGCTACTCAAGAGGCTGAGGCAGGAGAATCACTTGAGCCAGGAAGGTGGAGGTTGCTGTGGGCCAACATTGTGCCATTGTACTCCAGCCTGGGCAACAGAGTGAGACTGTCTCAAAAAAAAAAAAAAAAAAAAAAAGAAAGAGAGAAAAAAAACTTCACGTGGCTCAACCCAACACCAAAGATAAGGAGACATGTAACCAACCTGAGGTGGGCAGGAAAGTCTTCCCAAGGTGGGCGATCGGTTTTTTTTTTTAATAGAGACAAAGTCTCACTGTGTTGCCATGGCTAGTTTTGAACTGAGCTCAAGTAATCCTCCCACCTTGGCCTCCCAAAGTCCTAGGATTACAGGCGTGAGCCACCACACTCCTAGCCAACTCGGTTTTGAACTCTTGAGTTGGGGTTTGCCAGGTGCCAGAAGAGGGAAGGTTTTCCAGCAGAAGTAACACCATGAGCAAGGTGAAGAGGGGAAAAATATCTATACATCTATATATGGGGTGTGTGTGTGTGTATACATATATGTATTTGTGCTGCATTGTTACAGAAAGATGTAAAAAATCAGAAAATATGGATGCCCCCCACCTCCCTTTCCTGAAAAGACCTGTGTGACAGTAGCGTGGAGGGGGCAGGGTGTCCTGGGGGGCTCTGATGCTTGTGGCAGGGGTGTCAATTGAGAAGCACCCTGTAAGGCCAGAATTTAAACTTGAACCCCAAGTAATGGAGAACCAAAGGAATGACGTTCCCTGCTAGAAAGATCATTCCGTCCACAGTTGTGGAAGGTGGACGGTGGCAGGGAGCACTGTTAGGAGGACCTCCCCGAGCCGTGAAGGCCGGTGGCGGGCAGGACGGGGTGGGAGGAGCATGCAAACCTGCTGGACTCTGGCTTGGCTGTTTGCGGGCACTCATGCCATGCCCTGCAGCAGGGGACTCAGATGGCAGCTGTGTTGGTCTAGGAAATGCTGAATTGGGGGTGCTGTAGGCACATATCTGGGCTGAGTGTGGGTGTCATCAGTGAGTAGTGGAAACTAGGGAACAGGCAGGGTGGAGTGAGGGCCTTCGATGGGGCCTCTGGAGAGGAAGGGGATAAGAGGCCGAGGCCAGCACATGGGGACTGGCGTGGAATGACTCCCAGGAGGGGTCAGCAGCCGGCAACTGAAAGAGCGGGGACAATGTGCCCTGAGTGTCCTCGGGGTTGGAAACTGGAAGGTCATCTGTGGTCTTGGCAGAAATACCCTCTGGAAGTCATCGCCTGGCCACAGAGGGCTGAGTGGAGAGGAAGATGGGGCAGGGACACAGCCAGAGAGGGTCTGAGAGGAAGGGAGGCAGAGCCCCAGGGCCTGTCGAGAGGCCCGAGGAAGGCAGCAGGAGGGGAGGATGAAGATAGAGCAAAGGATGTGTTCAGGGATTGCACAGAGATCGGGGAGACAGAAGGATCTGGAACCCACGCAGGGGGCAGGGTTGGGTGGGAAGAAAATGGCCAGGGAGGTGCAGCTGATGCTAGGCTGAGGTGGGGTAGGAGGGTCCCCATTGCACAGGGCAAATATGTTTATCTGCAACCTTTTTTTTCCTCGATTATAAAGCCAGTAAGTGTTTATCATGAAAAATTAGGTAAATATAGAGAATATATACATGACCTGCCCTCCCAATATCTAAGCACAACCACTTAACATTTGATTTTAGAAAAAATTTTAAAAATATGCAAATACACACTTAAAAATACTAGCTTGGGCTCATTCTAAATGGCTAGCATGCTATATTCACACCATTCTATAATTTGCTTTTTCACTTAGCTATATATTGTGAGGCTCTTCCCATGTCATTCAATATTTTTCTAAAACATCATCTTCAGTACTCTTTTGTGTGAATATATCATAATTTTTATAACCAGCCTCCTATTTTGGGAATGTAATTTCTTTCTTTTTTTTTTTTGAGATGGAGTCTCACTCTGTTGCCTAGGTTGGAGTACAGTGGCGTGATCTCGGCTCACTGCAATCTCAGCCTCCCTGGTTCAAGCGATTCTCCTGCCTTAGCCTTCCAAGTAGCTGGGATTACAGGCACCCACCACCACACTCGGCTAATTTTTGTATTTTATTTATTTATTTATTTATTTTGGAGGCGGAGTCTCGCTCTGTTGCCCGGGCTGGAGTGCAGTGGCACAATCTCGGCTCACTGCAAGCTCTGCCTCCTGGGTTCACACCATTCTCTTGCCTCAGCCTCCCTAGTAGCTGGGACTACAGGTGCCCGCCACCACACCCAGCTAATTTTTTGTATTTTTAGTAGAGACAGGGTTTCACCGTGTTAGCCAGGATGGTCTCGTTTTCCTGACCTTGTGATCCGCCCGTCTCGGCCTCCCAAAGTGCTGGGATTACAGGCGCGAGCCATCGTGCCCGGCCAAATTTTTGTATGTTTAGTAGAGACAGGGATTCACCATCTTGGCCAGGCTGGTCTGGAACTCCTGACCTCGTGATCCACCCACCTCGGCCTCCCAAACTGCTGGGATTACAGGTGTGAGCCATCGCGCCCGGCCTGGGAATGTAATATCTAATTTTGTGAATAATATTGCAACAAATAACCTTGTGTGTGCTTATATATCGATATCTATTTGTATCTATCTACCTACCTACCTATCATCTATCTATCTATCTCTCTATCTACCTACCTATCATCTATCTATCTATCTATCTATCTATCTATCTATCTATCTATCTATCCTGTGAACATCTGATTACTTTTCAGTATAAAATCCTAGCAGCCTGGGCGACAAGAGCCAGACTCTTGTCTCAAAAAAAAAAAAAAAAAAAAAAAGTCGTAGCAGTGGAATTACTGATTCCAAAAGTACTAGTGGCTGGGCTGGGCATAGTGGCTCACACCCGTAATCCCAGCACTATGGAAGGCTGAGGTAGGAGGATTGCTTGAGCTCAGGAGTTCAAGACTAGGCAACATAGTGAGACTCTGTCTCTACAAAAAATTAAAAATTCAGCCAGATGTGGTGGCGCATGCCTGTGGTCCCAGTTACCTGGGAGACTGAGGTGGGAGGATGGTTTGAGCCCAGGAGGTCAAGGCTGCAGTGAGCTGTGATTGTGCCACTATACTCCAGCTGGGGTGACAGAGCCAGATGCTGTCTCAAAACAAAACAAAACCAAAAAAGTCCTGGTATTCTGCATGTGTACAATACATACTGTCATAGTCCTCAAGAGGACTAAGATTCTAGATTTATCCACACTCCTGGCAACGGGATACCAGAGGGTGCTGGTGGTGAAGGAAGGGTCATAATTTTTTTTTTTTTGTTTTGGTTAGGAATATTTATGTACTTAGTGGTTCACCAAGTATATAATAACTCCAAATCAGTAAACACGAATGTCAGAAACGGTAGCATGGCTATATAAATTATGGTGTAAATATAATATAAATCATTAAATCATCTTTTGCAGGATGTTCAACAATGCAAAAGAAAACAAACAAAAATCAAACTGCAAACAAACCATATACACATGTAGACACATACACAAACACTGAAAGGTTTCTTGTTTGCTGAAAATATATGTAGGAAAAAAACTACACTAAACGTAACGCACTAAAATGATGATCACAATTCTGTCTGGCTGCTGGAATAAATAGTTTTTATTTTCTTTATATTTACTTATTCCATACATGTTTTTGACTACAAGTAACAAAAGTTCAACACCACTGGTTTAAACGGTAAGGGAAATGTAATATTC